GTCAGTGTGTCCTCTGGTTTTTGTTGTCTTCATGAACGTTATTTATCTATCTCTTCTTTATCTTGCTGTTGTTAAATGTGAAAGACTTCAAACTGTAAACCTGTTTCTGTATGTTTGTCTCTCCTCTTCCTGTTCAGGCGTACTTTCAGTTTGCCACAGAAGACGAAGCTCGAGCGATGGCCAAGTTCTACAACGGTAACATCCAGGCGTCGGTGTGCGGCCGACCTGTGAGGATCAGTCACTCCATGAGCTACCCGACCATCCAGGTGAACATCTCTGCTGTTACCTGAAAGTCTTAAAAAGTCTTCAATGCTGGATAGTTTTATATCTTCAGGTGTCTCAGTGGAAATCACTAAAAGTTGTTGATCTTTTTATTCTTGCTCTGTTTATCTACAGTTTGTCTTTGTCTTGATGCCTTTTCTTTGTGTTTTTCAGTGTGGCTCCAGCAGGGTGGTGTACATCGGGCAGATTCCCAGCAGTAAATACTCAGACGCCAACATCCTGAAACTGGCCGAGCCGTACGGGAAAGTCAAGAAGTATTTCCTCAACAGGCTCAAGAGAGAGGTAGAGAACCAGAGCCAGTACTAAACTTCTTAGTCCTGAAGGCACTTTACTGATGCAGAGATTTAAACTGTTTGTGTGTTCAGTGTTTAAACTGCTGTGTTTGTGTTTAGTGTTACAGAGATTTAAACTGAAGTGCTTGTGTGTTCATGGCTTCGGAGATTTAAACTGTCTGATGTGTTTGTGTGCTCAGTGTTTCATTGAGATGGAGAAAGCTGAGGATGCAGAGAAAATGGCTGAAGATTGCAAATTGAATCCCCCCAAATTCAATGGGAAACGTCTGACGGTCTACGTAAGCAGGAAATACAGACAGCTCAAACATGGGTGAGTTTCTTCTGTGGTAACTACTCACACTACTCTAAATGTCAGATCAGGTAATTTGAAATTTTTCAACATACTATACTGTGACCCATTTAAATCCAATTTTCTGGCATACTATACTGTGACTTTTTTCATAAATTTTTTTAACATACTATGACTTTTTCATTAAGTTTTTCAACATACATTAGTATGACTTTTTTCATATTTTTCAACATACTATACCATGATTTTTTTCATGAAAAATATTTTTTTCATGAAATACATTGACATGCTATATTATGACTTTTGTGACATCCTATACTATGACATTTTTCATTAAGAAGTCATAGTATAGTATGTCTAAATATTTGATTAAAAAAAAAAAAAAGTCATAGTAAGCCAAAATTGTCATGTTGAAAAATTTCATGACAAGAAGTCATAGTGTAGAATGTTGAAAAACATTCATGAAAAACGTCATAGTATGGTATGTCGAAACATTTAATTTAAAAAACAGTCATAGTATATAGTTTGTTGAAAAGTTTCATGAATAAAAAGTCATGGTATAGAATGTCAAAATAAAATCAGGAAAAAAGGTCATAGTATGTCGACAAATTTCACGTAAAAAAGTCATAGTATAGTATGCGAAAAATGTCATGGAAAAAGTCAAAGTATCGTATGTGGAAAAATTTCATGGAATAAAAGTCATAGTATAGAATGTGGAAAAATGTCATGGAAAAAAGTCATAGTATAGTATGTTGAAAAATTTCATGTGAAAAATGTCAGTATAGTATATCGAAAAATTTCATGAAAAAAAGTCCTGGTATAGAATCTTGAAAAATGTCATGAAAAGAAGTTATAGTACAGTATGTTGAAAAGTTTCACGCATAAAAGTCATAGTATAGTATGTCGAAAAAAAATCCTGGGAAAAGAGTCATAGTATAGTTTGTCAAAAAATTTCATGAAAAAAATAATAGTCATAGTATAGTATGTTGAAAAATTTCATGAAAAAGTCAGTATAGTATGTTGAAAAATGTCATGAAAAGAAGTTATAGTTTAGTATGACAGAAATTTTCATGAGAAAAGTCATAGTAGTCAAAAAATTTCATGAAAAAAAAAAAGTCATAGTATAGTATGTTGAAAATTTTCATGGTAAAAAAAAAAGTCATAGTATAGTATGTTGAAAAATTTCATGTGAAAAATGTAAGTATAGTATATCGAAAAATTTATAGTTATAGTACAGTATGTTGAAAAGTTTCAGGTATGAAAGTCATAGTATAGTATGTCGCAAAATTTCATGGAAAGAAAAGCCATAGTATAGTATGTTGAAAATTTTCATAGAAAAAGCCATAGTACGTCGAAAAATTTCATGAAAAAAAAAAAAAGTCATAGCATAGTATGTCGAAAAATTTCATAGAAAAAAGTTGTAGTATAGTATGTCGAAAAATTTCACGTGAAAATCATAGTATAGTTGAAAATTTCATTTAAAAAAATTCATGGAAAAAGTCATACTATAGTATGTTGAAAAACGTCATGGAAAAAAATCATAGTATAGTATGTTGAAAATTTTCATGGAAAAAAAGTCGTAGTATAGTATGTCAAAAAATTTCACGTGAAAGTCATAGTATAGTTGAAAATTTCATTTAAAAAAAGGTCATAGTATTGTATGTTGAAAAATCTCATGGGAAAAATGTCAGAGTATAGTATGTTGACATACTGTATAAGGACTTTTTGCAATGACATTTTTCAGCATACCAGTATAACATAATTTCTTCCATATCTTATTATCTTGTTCCCAAAATATATTTTCCATATTCTTTTTCTTAACTAAACGCTCTGTTGAAACTCTTCTCTGTGCAGACATCACTGTCCGGGCCCAGCCAAGAGAGAAAAAAGCAGCACACCACCAAAATCCTCCAAACATTCTGACGAACCTCCAGCCAAGAAATCCAAGGAGGAGAAGAAACCAGAGGAGGAGAAAGAGGAGAAACTGGAGGAGAAACTGAAGGAGAAACTGAAGGAGAAAGAGGAGAAACTGAAGGAGAAAGAGGAGAAACTGAAGGAGGAAGAGGAGGAGCAGGTAGAGGAGAAGAAGGAGGAAGAGCTGCACAGTAGCGATGAGAAGAGAGAAGAAAACTCCGCAGAGAAGATTCCGGAAGTTTCAGATCAGAACCAGAAGAGTTCCCAGGATGTGAGTCACAGTTTTATTAACACTGAAATTATTTGAGTTCTATAAACAACTCCGACCCAAAGGCAACTGTTTTGTGTTTGCAGGAGGAGCTGGAAGAGATGGAGACATCCACTAGTCAGAACGGACAGACCGAGGCCCCCCCACCTGCTGAAAACAAACCCACTGTGGCGTCTCTGCCGCTGCCCCCCCACGACCCCAACAACCCCATCGGTGAGAAAACAGGACAAAGACTCTGGGACGGAGCATTTATGTGTTCACTTCGATATTTATTAGGAAATAGAAAAGGACAGGAGAGCAAGAACACATTAAATTACAGACAGATAATCTGATTAATGGCATCATACATTTGTTTTATACATTTAACAGACTGTGCCACAGATGTAACACTTCAAAAACACTCAATTATTGATCAGTATTTAGTATCTGACATTAAACCCCATCAGCAGGTGATATTTCTTCCTCTGGAACAATAATCTCTCAGACATTTTTTTACAGCTAAAATACTTTGAAACACTCTCGGACCACATACTAAAGCCACACACGGTTTCTCTGAACTCAAGCAGGAATCGTGAATATAACCCCAGATATTGAAAACTGTGATAATAAAACAGAGACGCGCTTTAGTTTCAGCAGTGAAAATAAAAACTGTCATTCTATGTTTTTTCTCCAGGTGTTGAACATGTGAAGATGGGTTATTACTGCCGTGTCTGCTTCCTGTTTTACTCCAATGAAGAGATGGCAAAGAAAACACACTGCAGCAGCCAGGCGCACTACGACAAGCTGCAGGTGAGACATGGCTCCGCCCACTAACTACCACACCTGAGGCACATTTTAATGGAGACAGTTTGTCTGAGTGGAAACAAATACAGGTTAAAAACTAGTTATAGCTCACAGCTGACTGACTGAATCCATGTCAACCTCATACTTCCTGTTGACATCCCATAAAGCATTATGGGAACTGTAGTTCCAAAACTTATAGCAGCGATTGTCTCTGAAACAGACATAAAACAGGAGTGACAAAGTTTATTTGCAGATGTATTTTTCACATTACACAAGACTCAACATATGTGATAGACCTCCAAAGCACCGACGCTCCTCTGTTCTTTCGTATACTGACATTTAATATGTGGTGAGACATGTGGACATACAGAATCTGCAAACTTAAATAATCTGATGTGACAAAAGAAAGTGACCGAATGTTTCCTGTTGTGTGTTTCAGAAATATCTGGAGAAGGAACAGGCCAAAGCAGAGAAGAAGAAAGGGAAGAAGACGACTGCGTAGATAACTAAACTCATTTCATCTAAGGAAGAGTGGAAGTGGGACTTTTGTAATTTTGTGTTTTAATTGTGGGTAGTTGTTCAGACTTAAAGTCGTCAGTAAACACAGATGTGTGAGCTCTCAGAGCTGTTGTCATGGTAAAGACACTGACTAAAAAGTTTCATCGGGGAATTGAAATTTGTCTGCTTCTCAAGTTGACCGAAAACAGTGGTTTCCAGCTGGTGGGGCGCAGGTCTGTTCTGAAAGGACCACAAGTGACTCGCATAATGTGTTAAAAAATTAAGTACAGTCAATTTCTATTTTGGAGTGCAGTTTCCTGACGTTTCTGGACAGCTACTTAACAGAGACAGCAATCTAGCTCCACCACACGCCAAACACAAGTATTATAATGAATATATTAAACTGTGTGGACCTGGAACTGATGACTGAGGAGGAATCTGGACCAGTTGGGAACCACTGAGCTAAAATGTCATGTAGAGTTAAATCTGTCTGAGTCCAACACTCAGATGTTCAGACGTCCATGTAAAGAGTCGTTGGTGTGTTTAGTAACGTTGATTAAGACCTCAAATATCCAGCTGTACAGATGCTGGAAGAAAAATAGCAACATGCACACCGAATCTTTTTGTTGTACCCTCTGAAGTGAACATTTGCTGCTTAACGTCATTTCCTTTGCTCATAGACTGATTCTAGACGGCATTTAATTTCATCATTGATTGTTTGATCCATAAAATGTAAAAATTTGTAAATCAATCTGAGTCATAGTCGTTTTAATCTTTTGTCTAACAAAATGAAACCAGCAAAAATTTGCATTTTAGATGCTGGAATTTATTCTAAGTATTAGTCGTTTAATGAATTCTCTTGATTGACTAAAAGTTTAAGTTTGAAACCAATTTAATATTTGGGTTTAGGGCATTTTTCACCATTTTGTAACCAAACAGTCACTAAAATAAAAAGATGAATCAGTGAAACATGAACAGGAGGAATGATTACATCACACACCAACAACTCTTTACATGGAACGTCTTTGATTAAAGGAAGAGTTTCAACATTTTTGGGAAATGCTCTTCTTCTACTCACACTGGCACACTGGGGGATGGATACACTGTTGGTTAGGGAAAAGGTCCGACACAGACTGGATTTTACTTTTCAGTTTTTGTGTTTAGTTAGTTATAAACTTTAAATTTTACAAATGAACACCCTCACAGACAACAAACTTTGTGTTGAACTTTGTTTTCTGAATTTTTGTTGTTTATGTTTTGTAAAATAAACTAGTTTCCGAAAATATGAGTTGGTTGTTTTTAAGTGAAATCTCATTTTACAGTCCTTCAAAATAAAAATAAATGAACAAAACTTCTGGAATTACAAAGTAGCTGCTTCAGTGTATATTTTCACTTTCAGCTGACTAACAGGAATAACGTGTCCCCAGTGTTTCCATAGCAGGTTTCAAACCCTGCTGTAGTGTCCTTTAGCAAAACACTGAATCTTTTACAGAAAAACTAAATTAAAACAACTCTTAAAGAGCAAATGTTTGAGCAGGAACAGAAAGAAGAAAGATTTCTAGTTAAAATTGAAAACTAAGTACAAATTCATCCAAAGTGTAAATAAATCTGAATAATAAATGAGTTCAAGTGTTCATGTGTGTTCAGTCTGGTGTTTCTTGAGGTGTTGGTTCACCTTCAGGTGCTCAGCTCGCCCACGGATCTTTGCCCGTCTTCTCCTGGAAAACAACAAAAGAGGTTTCTGTCACCATCAGCATCATAAAACCAGCTGACAGGAGACATGAACACTCGCAGTCACTAGTAAAACTTATATCAGCGTTAATCACCTGGTACTTCCTGTAGTGCGTCAGGGTGCTGCAGTGCTGCACTTTGGCTTCGTCCTCGTCAGCGTAGATCAGCTGACACAAGTTACAGAAGTAACCGACGACCGGTCGGACAAACTCTGTGCCTGGAAGAATATTAAAAAAACAACACAGTGAGGGGACAGTGAACACAATTTTTCGACGTACCTTGATTGGCCCTGATCCAATCTCTACTAGACACTATTCTACAGTGTACACTACACACTGATAGTGATGGTGGTCAGATAAACTGTGTAAACAGTGCATTTTCTTACCAACAGGTTTGGTGGGTGTCTGCAGTTCTGCAGCGCCCCCTGCAGGTTCAGGCTGTTGTTGCACTTGGAGCGTTGCCTCTGAGTCCTGCAGCTGATCATCAGCAGCTTTCTAAAATCAGACCACAGATCATTAATGAGCAGAATGAATATGTATACAGTTTACTGCACATACAAACTGAACCACGTGCATGTCTGTAAGAATATCCAGGCTTTACAGCTCCTGCTCTACATCTGAATTTACACTCAGCAGCTGCAACATGCTGCAGGTCTTTAGATGTACCTTTTTGTCTTTACACTCTTCCGTCTCTGGAGTCTTCTCTGCTGATCCTTCTTTGTCATGGATCTCTAACTTTTCTTCCTCCTCCAGCTCCTGTCTTATCAGAGTCTCATCACTTGTGGGATCTGTCTTCTTCTCTGTCTTTTCAGGCACAGACTCGTTCTCATGAGTCCCTTTTCTTTTTAGTGTATTGTTTCCTGAACGCGTTCTAGACAGAGACTCTTTTTCCGGAGCTTTTTTAGCAGTGGACTCCTCCTCAGCTGAGTCCTTCTTCTCTTCAGTCTTTTTTGACTCCTTTTCTGAAGTCTTTTTATTGGCTGACTCTTTCTCTGGTGTTGTCCTGGAGATCTTTTCTGACCCGTTTTTGACAGCTGAGTCCCTTTCTGGCTTCTTTTCTGGAGAACTTCTGGATGCAGACTCCTTTTCTGAAGATTTCTTATTGGCCACTTTGGACACCGACTCCTCTGGAGTCTTTCTAGACTTGGAATCTTTCTCTGGAGTCTTTTTAGATGTTGACTTTTTCTCTGGAGTCTTCCTCGAGGACTCCCTCCTCTCCTCAGACTCGTCCCTGTTATACCTCTCACTCCTCCTCTTCTCTTTGTCCATGGCCATCTGAACTGACCGCCTGTGAAGACAAGTTTGGGATTAATGCCCACAGAAATCTAACAGGTGAACAGAAGAACAAGTGATAGTTTGGCGAGTCTTACCCGTTGGACAGTTTCATGTATCTGTTGGAGATGTTGATGTAGATTTTGGAGCCATTGATGGTGAGAGATTTAGAGGACAGCTCATTCACAGCTCTCAGAGCCTCTGCAGAAGTCGACATCTCAATGAAACCCTGAAACACACAAACACTAAAGATGAAGAGATGCCATCAAGCTGAAAACATCCCTGAAGTCTCTACAGTGTCAAACACAAGTTAAGAAGTGCAGAGTCTAAATTATATTTCTAAATGCTTTAAAGTTCACAGCATGTCTTCACTTATAGAGGCTTTACCAACTTCACAAGTCACATGAATTAAAGGAAAACAGAGTCTATGACACAGTGATAGGGTTCATAGTTTTCCAGCTGGTGGCTGCTTCATTCTACTAAATTCAACTAAATGAAACAGTCATGTTTTCAGGTTTCATCTTTAGGACCCAGTGTGCAAGAACCAGAATGATAAAATGTTTGTATTAGAAGCGGGCATCGCAACAAACCCTCCTCGGTTTCTGACCTTTTGGCGTCCAGGGACTCGGAAATAGCGCACCGGCGTCCCAAAATCTTTCACCAACTTGAAGAAGTCGAGGTCACTGAAGTGAGTCTCCGGGAGGTGGTCGAAGTAAACCACTCGGTAGGACGAAGACTGCAAATAAACAAAATAAAGCATCAACAACATGTCTGACCAACAAAACATATTTTTATGGAGATTAATGTTTCCTCCTTACTTTGGGTTCATCTCTGACTTTTTCATCTGCAACAAACCAGAAGATTAAAATCAATCAGGAATGAATAAAACATTATTTAAGGATTAAATATTACACTTTATGATACAATGAATTTCATTTACATAGTACAGTACATTTCATTTTTCAAAGGTTTACCTTGGTCGTCAGACTGGTCTTCTCCCAGTTCATCTAGAGTGATGCAGTTCTCCAGGTCTACTGGGAAATCTCGTTCTTCCTGGAGACAACACACACAGGTCGGAGACTGGTGAGACCAGTATCTGATACTTTAACATCATCTGATATCAGTGATTTAATAATTTGGAGTCCAGACATTAGTGTTTTGACAAAGAAATGCAGGTTAGACACCGTGTCTCTCCGGTTCTTTGGATAGAAAACCTCTTAAAGCCCACCAGGTCATCGACTACTCGCTTTAGCTAGCCGTTTAGAACACTTACAAATATAAATGTTTAAACTTTATTTCAATGTGGACATGCTACACATCGTTAGCTTGGTTAGATTCTCCACAATTCAATTGCTAAGTTTATTTTACTGAAACCAGGAGCGCCAAAGTGTAACACATTCAGATTTACCTGCATGGTAAACAAAAAAGACAAAAAAGACAAAAAAAAAAAAAAATAAAAAAATAAAAAAAATAAAAAAGTGCTGACTCCCTGCCTTTGAAATGCATAGGAATCACTAGAGGCCCCACAATATGATATCGTTACAATACTTGACTCATCATACAATTAATACAATGCTATTGATTTTAAATGTTTTGTGACGTGTGGAGTTTTACAACAACATACTGCAATATACTGTGATTTATTACCTTTATTTCAACTGCACATTATTTCCCCACATGAAAACTTTGTCAGCATCTGTTTTATCTTTTAAAATTAAAGTTTCCAGCCTTTTCATCTCACTTCAATCATTTTACTGCAGAAAATTGTATCTAGTGGACTAATAAAGGACTGATTTTTTTATTCCAGTGGGCTACCAAAATTTAATTTGTATTTGCAATATACTAAAAATAACGTAATAGGTTCATTCTCACTGCACGATGCGGAAATGCGGGACGGATTTGCGGAATATTCGCGCAGCGCTTTTCCACGTTTAAACCACACAGACAGGTGCGGTACGGTCGCAGTGTGGAATTTCGCGTTGTTGTGTTCCAATTCCGCGCAGTGTGAACAGGTGTGGGTGAACATGGACGAGAGTAGCAGCAGCAGCGAGCTAGCAAGCTAACGTTTAACAAACGTCAACATCAACTTTATTTAGCACTTACCACTCTCACCGCAGCCACCAAGCTGGACAATGGACTGCCAGACGTTGTCCTTTAATTCATTGTTCATAAAATCATCCCGTCTTTTATCAAAAAGGACGGGGTGCTGTGAAATTATCAACCTTTCTCCCATACTGTTCTGTCTGACTGGATTTCGGACTCTCCTGGGTCTGCGCGACTATAAACAAACAATTTCATTGGCCCAGCTGTGTAGTTCCGCCGGCAAATTCCGCAGGGGTCACAGTCTGGGCGGAAACTTTTTTACCGCACGAAAGTTCCGCCCCGGTGTGCAAACTTCCATAAGAACCCATGAAATCAGCTTTTATATTTTTCCGCGAGAATAATCCGCGTGGATATTCGCCCTCAGTGAGAATGGACTTTTAGTCAGTAAGGGTCCGCAAATAAAAACAATTAGTTTCTTTCATAAAGTTGTGAATGGGTCTTAAGACGATAAGTAGGTGTTGTGTCGCTATACTGAGTGCTAGGGCAGCACAATTATGGCCAAAATGATAATCATGATTATTCTGATCAATGTTGAGATCCTGATTATTTTTTGATTTTAGGCACACAATATTTTTATTGCACTTTCAAATTTAAATACACAGAGCACTGCTTTCACTTTCATGTTGTGCTACATTCCTCCTAATTAACAAATCTTTGCATCAAAATAAGACCGAAAATAAGGTTATTTTTTTATCTGAATTCTGAGCATCTCCTATGGATGCGCATCTGCTGCTGTTATGTTGTTTTTTTAAAACAACATTCACAGTGTTTTGACACGCTGCAGCGTCGCTGTCATGGATGTCTTGAGTTTATGTTGCACAAGGAAGGGGACCAACAGTAACGGTAACATTAGCAATATTATTCTTGTTGGCCTTCATGCATTCATTTGGTCGAATGGCCTCACACTACAGACCATATCTCTTTGTGACATCGGTCCCAGTTATAGGAGGTGAAGCCACAACAGTCGACTGAGCAGCCATTATTTTTAGTCTGCCCCTGTCATGTAGCCTGGGAGCTAATGCTAGCTGGCAGCACATACCAGAGCAGATGAATGAGTGTGCAGATAGTTGATAATTTTTTGTATTACTGTTACTGATATTATTGTTCTTTTCTTGAATCATGTGGTTCTGACAGTCCATAACCTGCACACATCACCATGTCTTTTATTACTCTATATCAAAGTACGATGTTTCATTTTTAAAAGAAGTGTGTGTGTTGTCTCTACCTTGTCCTCCTCCGGCTGAGTCTCCTCTGCTCCTCTGCTGGATTCCGACTCTTTCTCCTCCTTCTTCATGGATTCCTCCTGTCCCTCTCTTTCATTTATGGGTTTCTCCCTCTCCGTCTTCATGGATACCTCTTCTCCCTTTTTTTCATTTATAGGTTTCTCCTTCTCCATCTTCTCCTGCTTTATTTCTATCTCCTGATCACCAGCCTCTTCATTCTTCACTTTCACCTCATTATCTGAAACAGACATCAGAACAGCTGCTTAAAAATCGCTCTCTGTTTTTTCCCCCAGTTTTTTTTCCTCTTCCAGAGACAGTTTAGTTTTCATTTTTACCTTCTTCACGTGAGTCTGTATTCTCTGCAGGACAGTCGCTTCCCTCCACCTTGTCTTCTTCCTTGTTCTCCTCCTCCTCCTCTGCATCAGTGTCATCCAGAGTTTCCAGGTCTTCACCCTCCAGACTCTCTCCATCCTCTCCGATCACCTCCATCCCCTCGATGTCGCTTTCGTCTGCAGACGACCTGCGGGTGATCACAGTCACATTTTTTCACACTTTTCTTAAACACAGCAGGTTGTTTAAATGTTGTTTGACTGATACTAAAAACTCACTCTGCTTCCTCTCCAGGCTCTTCTTTTACTTCAGCTTTAGGTTTGATGTCTTTGACAGGCGCTGGATCAGGATCAGTCCTGGACTCAGAGTCTGGGGAGAGAAGACAATCATCAAAATATATTTATACATCCTGTTTTAATGATAAACACACATTTGGAGGCACAGTGATTGAGCGTGGGTTAGCTAGCTCACATTATTGCAGGATGATTCATGGGTAAAGCTGGGTTTACACTGCACACAGAAGCGCTGTGAAGAGCTCCAATTTTCTGTGGAGCGCTGCCCACTTGCAAAATATAGTTTGTCGTCCAACCATTTTACCACAAAAAGACAATAATAATCGTTTCTCTGCTGTTCATCATGTTGTGTTTTCTTACCAGGTGTCTCAGTTTTCACTGGTGCCTCCAACTTTACTCTGGACCCGTTGCTGGATTTATCTCTGGATCTGGATCTGGATCTGGTGTTTTCCTCTTTAATGGATTTTTCTCTGGATTTAGACCTGGTTGTCATCTTTTCTTTGCTGGATTTATCTCTGGACCTGGATTTAGACCTGGACCTCCTCTCTCTGGAGTTTTCTTTAGATTTCTCTTTGGACCTGGATCTGGTTCTGGAGCTTTTCTCTTTGGTGGACTTTTCCCTGGATTTAGACCTGGTTCTGGTCCTCTTGTCTCTGCCGGATCTTTCTCTGGACCTGGACTTTGTTCTGGTCCTTTTCTCATCATTTTCTCTTGATCTGGACCTGGTCCTCTTGTCTCTGCTGGATTTCTCTCCCTCCTCCTCTCGGTCTTTACTGCTCCTCCTCCTCTTGGTCTCTGTTGTCTTGTCTTCCTTCTCTCGGCTCGAACTCCTTGACCTCTTGGTCGAACTTGTTTCCTCTTCGAATTTCTTTGCTGAAGTGACTCGCCTGCAGAAGAAGGAATATTACACATCGATCAATAATCTATGTATCAGAATCAGATGATAAAACAACCCATCAGGTCCGTCGTACTCACATGAGGCTCTTGTATTCTCCAGAGAAGGAAACCTGGATGACCTCATTGTTGATCCTCAGGTTTTTGGAGGAGTAATAATCCACCAGCTTCTGAGCATCAGGTGTATTTTTCATCTCTACAAACGCCTGAAAAATCAACACAACTGATGTTTCAATGTGGTGCTACAGTGAGGTACAAGTACTACACAAAGATCATACTGTCTTCAACAAAGGACTTGACTGTCTCCAGATGTAAAAATGTTTAGCTGTAAAATGTTTTCAGTGAACATGTTTAGTTGAATATTTTGTGCATCTTAAACTAAATCCTGATTGATTTAATGTATTGTAGATTTTAACAGAGTGTAAAAAAGTGTAAGTGTTTCCATGATTCTACACAACTAAAGCTCATGACAAACCGTAAAAACTAACAAACCATATAAAGATAATTTCCACCAACTTCCACCAAAGCTTTACGAGTGAGTAAAAATACTAGACATCACAATGAACCCGTGTACCAAAACAAATACTACCCAACAGCTTGTACCGTTTGTCATGGTGTTACCAGATTAAAAAAGGTATAGCTGGTGACTTATATGACAAAAAAAAATTGTCATATTTGCTGAAACTCACTATAATCTGAAAGAAGAACATGAGACTGACTGTGTGTGAAAAAATCATGTCCTTCCTCCTCTTCCTACTGTCTCTAAAGCCCAGTTCAGACCAATGATTCGCAATGAAACAAAACCGTTTTAGAAAAGTAGCAGCAGTACGAACTGGCCGGTCTGAGCTCAACTCAAGCCGGCTGATGGCGTCACCCGCAACTCAGCTGGTCAAATTGCCAGACGTTGGTTTTAGAAAGAGCTGGATCAATGCATCAGTACAAAACAGACAAAACAGAACCAGTTTGGTGTATCTCACCTTGGACGGCAGGAACAAAGTGTAGAGTGGCGAGCCGAAGCGTTTGATGATGCTTATCAGATCTGATTGGCTGTCCTCTCCTATTGGAGCTGGAGTGAAACTCACCACCCGAGAACTCTGAGAGGAGAAACAGATGACTTTATTTACTATTTACTGTGACTATTATTCACTACTCATACTTTATAATGAGTGTTATGTGCTTTCTATGCATCTCTTGGCTTATAGCTGAGTTTTATATGAAGAATTGTCTACTAAAATATGTTTATGCTAAATAAACACTTAAAAAAAGACAGTCATCAAGAGTTTGTAGGATGAAGTTTCAGAAATCGGGTCTTATTTTAATGGTGCAAGCACAAATTGCAAACAGTCTGGGTGAGGTGGAACAGAAATCCGCCTGTCATATTGCTTTAGAGTGAGCAGTGGGTGGATGAATATCTACCTGGAGAAAGTTAAAGGTCTTTGAGATCCTGAACTCCATCTGCTCTCCGTTCACAGTTGGAGGATAGTTTGTGTGGAACTTCACCAAGTCCTTCGCCTGATCGATGGAGCCCAGCTCCACAAATGCCTGCAGGGTTCACAACAGATTAATTTTTAACAACATAAATGTATTGCACACTGAAGTTATGCTGCACTGAGCTGCATGTTTGTCTGAAGGGGCTGATTCTTCCAGCTTTTATGTACAGCCTGCATGACGTTTAATTTTCATTTAAATCAACTTAAGTTTTTTTATCTATAACATTCTCCTCTGTTGAAATGTATCTTACATTTAGCTAACTTCCAGCGTTACACACATGACAGCAATGTTTATACTTAGACTATATTTAGACTGTGGAGAAGACAACATGTGAATGCGTAATCAAGTTTGTGTCATTAATTTATTTCATTTTCTATCCTAAAATGATCAAAGTTCACTGATTATTACGGCTGAAGAAGAACGGCTGCAGCTGTGACTAAAAAGCAAAGAGGAAAATCGTAAAAACAATTCTCTATTTTACATGTAAAATATACGCAATCATTCAAAAGTTTGGAATTACTGCACACAAAAAATATTATTTTCAAGCTACTGACAGATTTAGAACTGAAAGGGCAGAAAGAAACAAAAACCCCAGGTGAACAGGTGAATAAAAGCAGAAGAAATCAGGAGTTACTGGTAAAAGAAACTGGAAGCTTAGCATCAACATGTGTGCAAAATTAAACAGGAACAGGTTCCTACGTCAGCGTCAGGAGCACAATAATGCCTCTAACAAGCTGGAATTAACAGGGTTCCTCAAACCTCACAACAGTAACAGAGGTTAAGTCTCGGGACAGCACTGTTGGAATATCAGCTGAACGTACTGTGGACTGAGAAATTACAGTTTAAACCTCTTCAATCTGACCACTGAGTCGACTGCAGAGGGCCCAAAGGAAAACAGACAAACTACACCGCCACGCAAAGGCAAAAGACCTTTACTTTGTGGAAACTGGTGGGTTGTCTTTGCCATTACAATTAAAAATCTGGAGAAACTGAGGCAAATTCATGTGACATCACAAACATCCGCTTAGACAGCTTTGATTACCAACACATGAAGTTACTAGTTTTGGTATTGCAACTTGAAACTTTGAGGGCAGTGTAGTAATATTGTACAGTTTTGATTTAATTAAATACAAATATTAGTTTAGCCAAATAAGTCCATGTCCATCAAAGACAATCAAAGTGGTTAAAAAGAACAACTAAGAATTGATTGACATATTCATATTATAATAGTTTCATGATTTGTCACAAGATTCTAACTACTCTAGAGTAGTTTGAAATATATAGTTTAAATATCACAACTTTATAGTTTAAATATTATATATAGTTATAAATATCATACAGTATATTGTTTACTGTAATCAACAACAAAGTGAGAGATCAAATGGAAGTTAAAGTCTTTTGCATTTGCATGACAAATGTACATGTCTGCAGACAATGTAAAGACAGAGTACCTTAATGTCCAAATAAGGAACATTTTCATGTGGCTAAACACTTTCATTAAAAGTAGAAATACAGCTTTGTGGTTTGTATGCTGCTGCGGACAAGTATAGATAGTTTTCATCTGTCCACATTCGCTTGAAGTCATGACAGTTGACAATGCTGCAACCCAGCAGCACAGAAGATCTTCAAAATGGACACCCAAGATTAGCGTCACCAATTCAGTATTTGACCAAATGAGGAAATATGGCGTTCATGAGAATGGGACAGACGTTCACAAAACCATAATGCCTCTAGCCACGGCCGTCAGCAGACACCAAAAGAACTTGAAGGTCATTTTTCTAAGTTGTACAGTCTGGTGAGTTAAGGTCTTCTGCCTTTGTTGGGCAGAGCAATAATGAGAACCCAGCTGCACTGCTGTAGTTCAGTAATGACTGAGGATCACTGACGCTTTTCTGAACTGGAAAAGTTTTTTGAAATCCAAGTTCCACTGTGGGGACATCGACTAAAAGGAAGTTTAAATCACTTCATTCTTCTTTTGGACCAAAACATTTGATGTCTGAATTATACAGTTAAAACAGTTGTTATTGAAGGAAAGAGGAAACACATAAACAGAACAGCTGATTCTAGACTTTTACTGTATAATACTGTGTCACAGTCTTGTGCGAAAAAGAAACGAGGACTCACTAAAGATGGGAACATAAGGATCTTGACGACCTTCCCGAACGGTTCGGTCAGTTTCCTCAGGTACGCCTCGTCCACAGACTGAGCCGGAAACTTGACACACACCACTTTACTTTTGTCTGCAGTCTGACGGGAAACACACACAAAATATTTGTTACGTCAGGGTTTGTACAGGAGCAGATATGCTGAACTTTAATACTTTCCGACTTCTTTAATCTCTTTACCTTCTTCTCTACTTTTAAATTAGGCTGTGGCTCTGTTAAACACACAGAAAATAACACGTCAGTGCAGTAAAGAGGACAATAATATCATGACCAACAATAACAGAAAAATAAGGTGTCTTTACTATTAGAGCTCTGATTGGCTGTCTGCCGGGTGGGTTGTTCTTCATCTTTCTTCTTCTCTGATTGGTCTTCCACCCTTAAATGACAAAGGAGATTTTATTTAAGATGCTGATCTGTAATAACTAAAAGCTGTTGAATACAGAGACACCACAGTCTTTACAGACAGGACCACATTGCATCAGTTCATAATGTGTTCTGGTTCCTCTTATAGTGAATGTTGTGCGACACTGACCTGATGACTGTCTCCATGCGACAGTCCCAGTTAGGAAACCTGCAGAAGAGACATGACAGGCTTTTGAAAACAAAACCAGAGATTATCAAGAAATAAATTCCCAAAACTTTAAATCTTCAGTTCACACTGTGATGACCTCTGTGGTGTCATCTTGCATGCTGGGTGATTCACCTGTCTGTGCTCTCTCAGCAGGCACAGGGTCGTTAGAGACATTGGGAACACCTGAGTGAGTCTGGGTGCAGCTTGCAGCTTTCCCTCTCTGACTCCCCAATCTTTTGTTAGCATTTGATCATGGTGTGTTTTCCTTTTGCCACTTGAGCCAGGTCCAAACAACAAATGTAAACTCATTCTACTCCTCGTTCGTTGAATTAAACTAATTTCTATGTTTTTTCTTGCACATTTTGCCGGATATTGGAGAAACTGTGGGTTCAGGGAGGTCAATCGGTGGCATGTATTTGTGTCTGGTGGTAAGAACTCTCTGGGGAGAGTTTTACAAAGCACTGTGGGGCTGACGGAGAAAAAAAATAGAGAAAAAGAATCTGGGTTTTATTAAATCAACTAGAAGAACACTCCAGGGACACTGAGGCAGATTTTCTTTCATTGTACAAAGAAGAACACAGGATAGCAGCAGGTCAGGATGCAAACTTCTACAAACTCAAGTCTTGTCTCAAAACCAAACTAACTCAATCAGAGACAGTTCTGTACTTGTCAGACGCTGTTCACCAGCTGTTATAACACCTTACTCATAATGGGTCTCATTCATGAATCTGTGAGTAGATTTGCACAGAAAAAAAACCTTGGTACTAAAAACCTACTCTGGATTCATGAACACCATTGAAAACTCTAATTCGATCACAGGCACAAATATTGTTCGTGAATGCCAATCAAATCACAAACTGACAGTGCACTCTCGCTTGTCAGCAATTAGCATACATCCCTGCCCACGTATAGCCAGTGACCACCATATATGGAGGTAATAATTACGATGGACAGGTGCATCCTGTCGACCTGCGAACATGGATCAAACAAAGAAAGAGACAGAGAGAAAGAAATTCTTTTCCGACGCTGAGATTGAAGATATTTTAGGTGAAGTAGGGTTGAGAAAAACATTATATTTTCTTCTGTTAGCAGTAATGTGACAAGAGACAGGTAAATCAAAGGCTTGGAAGCAGGTAACTGGTGCCGTTAACTCTGCGTTCTCTGTTGTAAGAACCATCCTAAAAGTTAAATAAAAACGGTTCGACATGAAATTTGATGCAAACAAACTCACTCGTCACAGTTCTCTGCTGCAGATGAGCGCACCTCTGCACCTCTCTGTCAGTTTGCCCTGAGCCTCAGCATTGTTTGTCATTGCTGTAAAATCAAACCACTATTAAAACATCTTAACACAGGCGGCCTAATCGGCAATAACCCACCATTAAGTTTAACAACAAGTAAGATAGTCTGGTGTAAAACCAAGCCGTCTTCCTCCAACTCTCTGCCAGATTCAGATTCACAGACTGCCCGGTGTGAGCGGAGACAGAAGCCGAGATGCTTTCCCACGTCCACAGGTCTTTTTAAACCAAAATTCAATTTGGAAAAATGTTAACGTCTGTGATAATTGAATGAAATAAAAATGACATGCAATTTGGGGCTGTGGTGCATAAAGAGGGCAGAAGAGGAGTGTGTTAGTTTGTTATTTCATTTATTCAGAGAATAAATCAGCGATTTCTAGTTTTGTTTCAAGTCTATTTAAATAACTCATTCACATTTTTAAGAAGCTTAAATCTGCTAAATACCAACTAATTTAGCTAAATGCGTTTTATTTCTAATCTCTTGTCATGTTTAACCTACATGTTTCAAAGGCATCTGTGTATTGTGAACACAACAGAGCACAATATGAATAAAAATTGTAATTTCTAATAACGACAAGCAATACTTATGTGCAAGATCTTATTTACACAAGCACTACAAGCAGTCAGAAGCAGGTATAGATTTTGTTAGCACGTACGAAAAGATCGGAGCTACTAACATATTGATGAATTCTGAAATACACACAAATTCATTCTGCTCACATTTCATGAATGAGACCCAATGAGATTCAATAAGGGAATCAGATTCGCTAAGTCAAGCAGGACCACAACAGTGCGGCCTAACTCAGTCATGCCCAGCGATTAAAGTTGTGTGTAAAAACAGCAGCCAGAGAGAAACTTACTGTTGCAGCAGGGTGAGCTGTCCGTCCGCATGATGAGGCCCATTTATATGTTTAATCCACACCTGAAAAACAAGAAGAAGGACCATATATAACTCTGTAACACTCGAGTGATTCCACCTGACAGCTGCAGCATCCACACAGAAACCCCTCCCACCCCCACCCCCCATCAGACTCTGAAGAGAGAGGTTCGAGGAGGAGGACAGGTTTCCTTACCTTCTCTGACATCACAGTGATATCACACAGAGAGCATGAGTACGGGAACGTTGTCGGAGATGTCCCGTGAAAGTCCATTGCTTTTTTCTTGGAGGGCATCAAGGCGGCGGACCAGCTGCTGTTGCTCCAGGTGGACGAGGTCTCAGACTGGTGCCCAACTTGAGTTTTTGGATGGAGCTCTTTAGGCGGAGGAGCTGACCTGTGATCGGCTGGTTCCGGCTGAGAGAAACGGGAAGGACGAGTTCTTTTGTTTCTTCCTGCTGAGCTGAAAGAGGGTCGTTCTGGACCGGTATCTCTGCCTGTCTTACCATAGTCAGAGAGTCCTGGTCTGAGGTCGTAGTCCTGAGAGGAAACTGGACCGGAGTCTCTGCTCGTGTTGCCATAATCAGAGGGTCCTTGTCTGTGGTTGTAGTCCAGTAAGGACACTGGAGTGGAGTCTCTGCTCGTCTTAGAATACTCTAAGGTGCCTGGTCTGTAGCTGTAGTCCTGAGGGGACACTGGAGCGGAGTCTCTGGCTGTCTTGCCAAAATCAGAGGATGCTGGTCTATGGTTGTAGTCCCGAGAGGAAACTGGACCGGCATCTCTGCCTGTCTTACCATACTCAGAAGGTCCTGGTCTGTGGTGGAAGTCCACAACATAGCTGGAGGACGATGATGACAAGGGTGGGTCTGTTCTGACAGAGCCGCAGGTCCTGGGATTCCCCCAGCGGTCCAGCTCAGAAGAAAGAGGATCTGGTGTCACGTGGTCCAAAGGGTACTGAAGCGGCTGGCTGTGGGGATCCCAGTCGCCGGTGGAAGGGCTGAGAGCAAGTCGACGGGAGGAGCTGGGGAGATAAGACGAAGAGGAGGAGGAGGAAGGAGGAGATGGAGCATTGGGAGGAAAAGGTCTGATGGTGGCCCTCTTTCCTTTTATCTGTTTGAGGACTTGAGGCAGGGACTCGATAGTGAGGACGTCTTCAGGTAGCTCAGCCAGCAGAGCCAGGTCACCTGGCTCCAGACCACAGCTGTTCAGGATGCCGAGAGCGCCATCCTGGGTCCACTGAGCTCCTCTAGAGGACGAGGAGGAGGAGGAGGACGGGTGGGACGAGGCGAAGGAGTCCTGAGGCGGCCTGTAAAAGTCGTTGTCTGATGAGACTTGACGGCGGTCTGCTGAGCCATACAGTCCGGGGTCAGGTCTGCGATTGGAGTCAGACGGCGGCCGCCTGTACGGGTAGTTGTGAGACATGATGGGAGGAGAAACGCTCAGGGCGTTTCCTGCAGACAGAAGGTGTCAGGGAAGACAGGAGATGTGAAATCTGACTTACAGAAAAGTAAAAAGATGACGATTCATCCTGAGAGAAAATCAGCTGAAAACATGAACACACAGGAACATGAGCTGTTCACGTGAGTAAAAAGTAGAGAGGATACCTGATGATATCTGTAACATCTGAGACGTGTTGTCGAGAGGAAAAAATGAATTAATCGTATAACAATACATAAACATTTGCTAAACTTCTGACCAAAGTGGGTTACCAAGGTAACCAAAACTAAACATCCATCTTTAGAGTTCAACCAGATGAAAAGAGAAAAAGAAAAATGCACATCACAGTTTTACTGAATGTGACTTTGTCTAGCTAACAGTCTAAAATGTGAAGATATTCTATTACTATTGGAGAGCTGGAAAGGCAAGAAACCCTAAATACCTTAATGCCAAATATATGTTTAAAAATTATGTCATCACTTTTAAGTTTGTCTTTTTCACACTTAATTCTTTATGCTCTGATCAGTATATCTCTTGGTCTTTTTTGCAAATTCTCAAATATTAAGCATTGTAATGTAACACTGGCTTTAAAAATCGTGTATTTTAATTTTAAAACAAGTAAAAGCAGTAAAATCTCACATCAAAAAAGCTGAAACCATCAAATATTCTACTTTCTTCTGCTTGGAAAAACAACTGAAAGGATAGATCAGTTATCCAAATAGATGCAAATTGATTTCTGCAATCGATCCATTGACAAATTGCATGTGACACGGTTAAATAATACAATTTTTAAGCCCCAACAACACGTTGATTGAGGTTTTCAGAGGGTAAATAATTGTCGATCAGAGAAGAGTCCTGTCGATCGATACATATAAACAGCAGTGTCTGTTGTTAGAATGAAGCTAACAGCATTTGCTTACCAAGCTAACGTATCCAGCGTCAACACAGTTAGCTAGCGGCTAACAACCGACAGAACAATGTCTTCTCCGGGTGCTTACCTTAAATCAAACACGGAGCTGTGTTAAATAAAGCGCACAGTCGCTTCACAAAGAGAAGAAGTAAAACGTTCACAGGTGAAAATGCTGTTTTAGGCGAAGACAAATGTAGAAATGTCGAGACCGTTGTGACAAGCTAACCCACTGAAGGTAACGTCCTTCTTCGTCCTCTATTCTGTGTTTGGTAACGGTTAGCAAACAAAGAAATGGCGCCTTACCGCCCCCTGTTGGTGTGGAGGCTACACCGGAAATAAAAAAGAAATAATAATAATAATAATAATAATAATAATAATAATAATTATTATTATTATTATTATTATTATTATTAATAATAATAATAATAAAATTAAGTACAATAAATTTAAACAATTTAAGCAAAATAAAATACATTATGTACAAAAAAATAAAAGAAAATTTATTGATTCAAGTACAATAAACTAAAATAAGATAATTTTAATTAATCAAAATAAAATAAAATAATATTTCCAAGGCTCATAATCAGGTCTCTCTACTCAGTATTTTTCTTAATTTTTCTTCCTGTTGTGCAACCTTTGATGAGGTTGATGAGATGCTGCATTCCATTGGCCTTACTGGGAAAAATGATGTTGGATTTAAGTGCAGCTAACATATTCAGCTACAGTACAGGCCAAAAGTTTGGACACACCTTCTCATTCAATGCGTTTTCTTTATTTCCATGACTATTTACATTGTAGATTCTCACTGAAGGCATCAAAACTATGAATGAACACATGTGGAGTTATGTACTTAACAAAAAAAGGTGAAATAACTGAAAACATGTTTTATATTCTAGTTTCTTCAAAATAGCCACCCTTTGCTCTGATTACTGCTTTGCACACTCTTGGCATTCTCTCCATGAGCTTCAAGAGGTAGTCACCTGAAATGGTTTTCCAACAGTCTTGAAGGAGTTCCCAGAGGTGTTTAGCACTTGTTGGCCCCTTTGCCTTCACTCTGCGGTCCAGCTCACCCCAAACCATCTCGATTGGGTTCAGGTCCGGTGACTGTGGAGGCCAGGTCATCTGCCGCAGCACTCCATCACTCTCCTTCTTGGTCAAATAGCCCTTACACAGCCTGGAGGTGTGTTTGGGGTCATTGTCCTGTTGAAAAATAAATGATCGTCCAACTAAACGCAAACTGGACGGGATGGCATGTCGCTGCAGGATGCTGTGGTAGCCATGCTGGTTCAGTGTGCCTTCAATTTTGAATAAATCCCCAACAGTGTCACCAGCAAAACACCCCCACACCATCACACCTCCTCCTCCATGCTTCACAGTGGGAACCAGGCATGTGGAATCCATCCGTTCACCTTTTCTGCGTCTCACAAAGACACAGCGGTTGAAACCAAAGATCTCAAATTTGGACTCATCAGACCAAAGCACAGATTTCCACTGGTCTAATGTCCATTCCTTGTGTTTCTTGGCCCAAACAAATCTCTTCTGCTTGTTGCCTCTCCTTAGCAGTGGTTTCCTAGCAGCTATTTGACCATGAAGGCCTGATTCGCGCAGTCTCCTCTTAACAGTTGTTCTAGAGATGGGTCTGCTGCTAGAACTCTGTGTGGCATTCATCTGGTCTCTGATCTGAGCTGCTGTTAACTTGCGATTTCTGAGGCTGGTGACTCGGATGAACTTATCCTCAGAAGCAGAGGTGACTCTTGGTCTTCCTTTCCTGGGTCGGTCCTCATGTGTGCCAGTTTCGTTGTAGCGCTTGATGGTTTTTGCGACTCCACTTGGGGACACATTTAAAGTTTTTGCAATTTTCCGGACTGACTGACCTTCATTTCTTAAAGTAATGATGGCCACTCGTTTTTCTTTAGTTAGCTGATTGGTTCTTGCCATAATATGAATTTTAACAGCTGTCCAATAGGGCTGTCGGCTGTGTATTACCCTGACTTCTGCACAACACAACTAATGGTCCCAACCCCATTGATAAAGCAAGAAATTCCACTAATTAACCCTGATAAGGCACACCTGTGAAGTGGAAACCATTTCAGGTGACTACCTCTTGAAGCTCATGGAGAGAATGCCAAGAGTGTGCAAAGCAGTAATCAGAGCAAAGGGTGGCTATTTTGAAGAAACTAGAATATAAAACATGTTTTCAGTTATTTCACCTTTTTTTGTTAAGTACATAACTCCACATGTGTTCATTCATAGTTTTGATGCCTTCAGTGAGAATCTACAATGTAAATAGTCATGAAAATAAAGAAAACGCATTGAATGAGAAGGTGTGTCCAAACTTTTGGCCTGTACTGTATATATGAACACAGCACTGTTGTGGCCACCAAAGAGTCCATTGCCATTGTCTGAAATAATCATTAAGTCAACTAGATGGGAAAATATTTTACTCAAGTCTAACAGGTAATATCAGGCCCACCCTGAAGTTGTAATATTTTGAGGGAAAAATTCAATTAAATTCAATTCAATCTTATTTATAAAGCCCAACAACACAAATCACAATTTGCCTCAGAGGGCTTCATATAGCGTACAACGTACGATAGTTGTTGTCCCCTAACTGGGATGTCTGAATTTCTTATGTTGTCAGTCTCAACCATCAGGTGGCGCTGTAGGACTATTTTTCAAACTAAATCAATGTAACAGTCTGAGCGTTTAGCTCCTGTCCATCATCAGTGTTCTTTGTGTGTTTTAAAAGACAGAAGAATCAAAGACATCCAAAGAGAGACTAAAGTAAACATAACACTGGTCCCTGTTCAGTTTTACGTCTCTTAAATGAAACACTGACAGTTAGTGCGATACGACTTTCTAACAATGTAACTTATTCTGTTCTAAAATGTGCAAATGCATTTTTATTATTGTCTATGTACTAAATAAAATAACCCTTTTCTCAAAATTCATCTTGGACTGGCATCTAGAATAAATATATTACTGTTATTGTTATTTTGGGTACACTGAGTGGAATCACTGGCATCTTAAAATCCATCTGTAGTTTTCCAAATACAGTGCAGGAAACACACTAAACTTACAGTAAAAGACAAGAAGACAAATTGATTTAGAGACCGATACATGAGGTGTAATTCTGATTTATAATGTGCAAATGTATTTATTTATGATCTATGAGAATAAAAAATGTCCAGACAATATCAGCTGCAAAGTAAAATCAATATCTACAAATATAATTGTTGCTAAACCATCACACACCACAAGGTCCATTTAGTAGCTGTTCTAGAGCTTTCAACAATACATACACACACGCGCACACACACACACACACACACACACACACACACACACACACACATATATATATATATATATATATATATAGGGATATATAAGGATATCCATGATGGTTTAAAATATAGGATAGAATAGAAAGCCTTTATCAACATTGTACAAAGAATATACAACAAGATCAGGAGTGCTTCATCTGATCAGGTGCCAACTAGTCAAAAAAAACAAGCAAGTGAAAAAAAAACAATCAACATAATCTGAAATAAATCATGTTAAAAAAAGTGGCGGTCCCAAACTGTTACATGTACAATGAAAAGTAGATTATAAATGGAGCACTGCACCATGATGTGCTGTAGAAATACTTACTAAGATACCACAACATACAATAAAAGTAAATGTACTAGGAGAGTAGGCTACTAGTTACTATATATTCTATATAAAAAGTGTAGGCATATAAAGAATGGACTTTTTTAACTACACTTTTCTTTCTCCTATCATTGAACCAACCAGGACAGCAGTATCAGAAGCAGCAGATGTAATACTTTTAGTATTAGTAGTACAACAGGAGTACAGCTGAGTTCAGCAGGTGGAGCCACAGACCACAAGTTACACACTGAGCTCTCCTGCTGATTCGTATCAAACTGTTTGCAGAAAACACAGTTGATGATATTTGACATTAAAATCTGCACAGTTCAAATTGTTTCTATCGTCTACAGATATCTGCTGATTTACTGTGTGTGTGTGTCAAATTCAGTAAACAAACAACAAAATTAAACAAACAGTTTGCAGCTCAGTCAGGTTTCAGCTTGCTTCACATTAATTTACAGAAAATGTATTTTAATTTAAAAACATACAGCAGTATATGTTTTAGCTGAACACAGGATACTATTCCAAGTTTAATACGAGCGGCATGAAGAAATAAAGACAAATACTATTGGTCAGTGTGTAATTATTGTATTTAAATTAATCTGTAAAATATTTTTCCCAATTTAAAAATGACAGAAAGCCTTCACTTAAATCCAAACCTGTAAAAATATCTAACAACATGCTGCACAATTAAGAAATTATTGATTATTATTATATTTAGCAGCACCTGAACAAGGGAGAATGTAGTTTAGTGTTTTATAAAGATATAAAATTAAAAATTAAAACTTGCAGGTGAAGATTGTGAGACATAACGCGAAGAATCTAAATCAAATCCATAAAGAAATAATACAAATATCAAAATAAAATAAATATTTCATAGAAATCAACTGATAGAAAAGTCAAATTTAAGTTAATTATAATTCAATGTGGAGAATTAAAAATCCTTTTTTATAACAGTTCATTAAAATCCTGACATGTTCGGCTCATTTGTGTTCCCAAAAATGTTTCTGTGTAAATGAAAAAGAAGAATGATTATTATATTTCTGTATTTCTTCAGCACATTTTCTGCCACACTGTTGTAGGTCTCAAAATATTTGGTGCAACCATCACAGCAGTTTACACTCAACACTTGATTCGTCCGTCGCGTGTGCAGAAAAACATTTAACACCAGTGAACAGATTCAGTGACCAAAATGACATTTATATTTATCACTGCTGCAGTTTCAGTCACATTTCAAAGGGACTGTGTTTAATTTAATTTCTCCTTTAGACACTCGTGTTGTAACTCAGCAGTAAAATTATTTATACAGAGCAACATGCAGGTTTCTCACTGTCAGTGCGCGTCTGTTAACAGTCACGTAAAATACAAAAATAAAAACAGATATAACAACATAAAGTAAGGACAAATGTCTCGACACAACAGACTCATGTTGTAGAATCTCTCCTGTCTGACAGCAGAAATTACATCTGATATTTGCTCTTATGGAATAATACTCTAAAATATACAATTTAAAGATGTTTGTTTGCAGTAAAACTCACCCTCACCTTGTGTAATGTAAATGACCGGTGATGGCAGGTGAGGTAAATTGAACAAT